AGCCAAGTATAATTAGGATCCCATTAAAAGTCAGTGCAAAGCTACTTAAATTGATAAAAATGCACATATATTGCTAAATTTAAATCTGATAATATTTTAAGCATGATTAACATATTTTTTCAGGTAAAACATTTATACACATTTTAAAATTAATTAATCACTTGGTAAAAAAATATTTTGAGGAATATAGTAAAATATAAAGGAAGATCAATCTGCTCACATAATTGCAATATTCTAAGACATATGGTTAGCTTTAAATGACATACGATTAATATCACAAGTAAAATGCTTACTGAGCTGAACAGCATAAGTTACACAAGTAATGAATATGTAACATTTTATGCAGAAATAAATTAAAGTCAAATCCAGTATTTTCAATCTTTTCTTCCAAAAATATGTAACTCAATTTCTATTACCTACCATTACAGAATACAAAAAATGTTGTAAGAGCTGTAGAGATGAAGACTGGATAACATAATTGATGAAGTGTGGTGATACCAGAAGTATATACATTAAATGAGTCATAGGGAAAGAAAAGATATATTTCCTACAATAGCCTAAAAAGTCTTTAATTCATAAAACAGTACAAGAAAGATAAGAACAGTGAAAAGATCAGAAAAAGAACTTCTCTGAAATTGCCAAAAGGATGTTATTAAATTTCTCATATTATTCCATATGACACTATCTCCCAGCAGATACATCATTACATTTGCTCTTTCCATCAAATACACTTTAAGGTTCTTGATTGTGCTTGTGCCTCAACATATCTGAATGAATTTTCTTCTGAATTTAATCATTATCACCATGAGTCTGCATTACAGAGCAGAGGACGCACTCTGCAGCTGTCTAGCTGCCTGCTTCTCTAGCTGCCACATTAAAACATCGTGGTAAAGCAAGCTCCAAAACTAAAGTCCAAAACATTATTTATCTTCAGAAAGATTTCAGGGAGGTTGTTTCCTGAACATTATCTGACTGAACATGCATGATCTCTTATTTACCTGAATGAAATAACTATAGCTTTTTTAATTCTACCTGGACTGTAGTGGTAATAAATTCAAATAATAATTTCTAATTCTATTTGATTATATTTCTGAAAGTCGTAATAGAACTACATTCAACCACAGGTAGATAGAAGAAAGAACAACAATTATCCCTATCAGTTGTATTGTAAGGTAGCTGTTTATTCACCAAAATGTTACATGGAAGAAATGTTAATTAAAACTATATTTTGCATTTTGATACCTGTCTCTATTAAGATTATGGTATGTGAATGGTAACTGTAATACTGTAAGTGCCATGAAAACACAGGTTTTAGTTTTCTGATGTAGTATTGACCTTTTGTTTGATAAACTGCAAAATACACTTTCCAAAGTAAATATTGCTAAGGAAATACCTGTAAAACTAAGGGACAATTTCCAGAAATATCTTCACYGAATCGCAGAATGGTTGCAGTGGGAAGGAACTTCTGGCAATCTAGTCCAACCTCCCTCCTCACATCAAGTCACCTAGAATATGCTGCACAGGACCCTGTTTATATACTTCTTACATATACTCAAGGATAAAGACTCCATAACCTCTCTAGGCAACCTATTCCAGTGTTCTCTGTCACCATCACAGTAATAAGGGTTTCCTTACATTCATATMGAACTATCTGTGTTTCAATTTGAGCCTATGTCTCTTGCCCTATCACCGGGCACCATGGAAAAGAATCTTGCCCCACATGTTTACACCTTCCATTTAGATATTTAGATATTAGAAAATAAGAATAATCCTGCAAAAATATTGAGAAWTGTGACACTAGGAAACAATGTACAAAAAATAAATACCTTGCAAGCTCTAATGTCCTGTTCAAAAAAAGGCCTCCATAAGTTAGTGAATGACTCACATTTGGTTTTCATCCTCATCAGTGCAAGATGTAACACAAACATTTGATCCACTTTCATTTTATTATGCACACAAGCACCATGTGGGCTGATCTCATCCTTGAGAAACCTGACCTTTATAGCCCACCGGAGTGACAATCCAAGGCCTCTGGCCACTGAGCTGTTCACCTTATTCTTAGCTGCATTAGCTGCACCTCCTTTGTGGATGACTGGGGACAATACTGAAAAACACTTAAAAGTGGAAGTTACACATCTGCTTCCCTATTAAACCATCTTGGTTTGGTGGCTCTATATAAGTGAACCTGTCATAAGCCCTACTCAAACCCACGCTATGCTCTCCAAATACACATGGTCCTGAATACAGGCAGACAGGATGTGGTATTTGGACAGAGACACTACTATGTGTTTACAGAGTGCAGTGTTTCAGGCCAAGAGTGCTTCAATGGCTGAATGCCCTGAGGTTGTCCCACTTCCTCCACAGTACATGCTATTTTCAGTCAGAAATGGACTAACCACATAAAACAGAAACCTTTTTAACATAGCAGAATGTGAGTTGTAAATTACCTTATAAAGCACAGAAGGTGGGAAAATGCTTTCAAATTCAGCTTTTGACCAATCTGAGCTCTCAAGAGAGGACCCTCTGTGAAACTTGCAAAATCCACACTATCCCTGTTTCATGTAGCTGTATTTAATTTTATTTTACTCTTTTTATCAGTGAGCTGAACCCACTATTCTGTTTCTGCAGAGATGAGTCTGTTTCATCACTGCCACTTATTTTACTCCACACATTATATGAGATAGAGGCAAAGCTCTCAGCAGTAGTCATTATTACAGCAGTTCTCACCAAAATGGGATGTTGCATGAAGGTAAAAAAAAAGAAAAAAATGTGATTGCTAGCTTGAAAATTCTACAACATAAAAGATAAATTTTATTCTTGACTGGTATAATAAACTGTTTAAAAAATGAAAAAAAAGTCCACAATACTATATGTGATTAAAATAACTTCACTGTATGTATAAACAACTTTTAAAGACCAGGAATATTACAGCCTCCAAAGTTCATAAAGACTCCCTAGTCATGACAAATTAAATGAAAGTAATAGATAACAGGGAGAAAGATGTAAACAGAGAAAAGATCATATGATTGGAGAGGTGATTCTGCCCCTCTACTCAGCTCTGGTGAGGCCACACCTGGAGTATTGGGTGCAGTTCAGGGCTCCCCAGTATAGGAGGGACGTGGAGCTTCTSGAGAGGGTCCAGAGAAGGGCAACCAGGATGATTAAGGGAATGGAACATCTCTCGTAYGAAGAGAGGCTGAGTGAGCTGGGCCTGTTTTCTCTGGAGAAGAGAAGGCCCAGAGGGGATMTGATTAATATGTATAAGTTCAGGAAGGGAGAATGCAGGGAGGAAGGGGACARGCTGTTCTCACTGGTGGCCAGYGACAGGACGAGGGGTAATGGCCACAAGCTGAAGCACAAGAAGTTCCGTSTCCAGGTGAGGAGSAACTTCTTTACTGTTAGGGTGACAGAGCAGTGGAACAGGCTGCCCAGGGAGGTTGTGGAGTCTCCTTCTCTGGAGGTCTTCAAAACCCGCCTGGATGCCACCCTGTGCCACATGCTSTAGGTGTGCCTGCTTGAGCAGGAAGGTTGGACTAGATGATCTSTAGAGGTCCCTTCCARCCTTAACTATTCTGTGATTCTGTGATTTAATTCTTACTGTGTGTAAGGAACATTTTATGAACGTACCAAAATTTATCATATGATCACTGTGAATCAAATAAGCCTGAATTAACTGATTCCTTTCAATTAGTCATGTCCAACTGTTGATATACCCATTTCCAAGAAAGGAAATTTATTTTGTAAACCTACTACATCCTTTACCATAAATAAACTGCTAATACTGATTATGATAACACTATAAGAATAATGCACATCTAGAAGTTATTATCAAAAAACAAGGTATTATGTAATGATTCATTCAGTTTGAAAACAGTTTAAAGGAAATTAAAAGAAAAAAACAATACTGTTTTAAATCATCTGAAAAAAAAGAAAAGTAAGTGAAAGTATAGATTAATCTTGGGAAATTTTAGTTAGAAGCTTTTACATTAATAGCATATTTTTAAAAATATGCTATTAATTCAAAAATCTGGGGGAATTATCCATGATGTTRCTTCCAYACTGACTCAACTGGAAAATCAGACGTGAGTTATATTTGCACATATTCTCTTTATTAGCTTTAATTGCCAATTAAATATCTACTATCAAAATGATGCTGAGAACAACTTTTGTTATTATCTTTCTTTTAAACTGAAAACGTGCAACATTTTGAATTTTTTATATCATATTCARAAGGACATCTGCAAAATACAAACATTCCAAGGTTCCATTTTTTTCTTGAAACCTTTAATGCTTTTRAGAAATGTTCCTTTTCAGAAAAAAAGCAAATTGTTCTCTCTTGTGCAGGTGGTTACTCAGTGCATAAAACAAAATGCCACAATAGCCATTTTTATTATGTGTGTGGTCCTGCAGTGCTCTTTTTTATTTTTTTTTCCTTTTTGCTAATCAAAAAAACAGTTTGACTGAAAGGTACCTCAGGAGGCCATGTGGTCCAACATCCACAATAGTAGTACAGTTAATGCATATACTTCCTTCTTTATATCTTGCTATTTGGATTGGTGCAGTTAATGCATATACTTCTTTCTTTATAACTTGCTATTTGGGTTAGTGTCTTCATGCCACTCAGATTCATTCAGGATGGTATATCGGCTTAATGGGGCTTAGCATTGTCTGCAACTCATGTTTCTTGGACAAAACATTACAAGATGCTACAATGGGCATGAGACTTTCAAATCTGAGCTAAACTATCGACTCCATAAAATTGTTGATGCACTCATGACCCTATCATCTAATACAGATTCATGAGAAAAATTCATGAACAATTCATGTTCATTCATGAATTCATGAACAATTGTACATATGTACAATTCATAAATGTATTTTAATTTATTTTTTTAAAGAATGCTTAAAGAACATTAAAGAATGTTTAATGAATATTTATTTTCTCAATGCGTGATGCATTCTACAGTACTACATAGTTAAGTAATATAAACATATTTTACCTGCTTGGTCTTTAAATATTTTTGATACGACGACAGGCACTTTGTGCTCAGCACCACCCTGCAAAAGATGTGTATTATCCATGAAATCTCACTTAAGACAAGAGTGATATATTTATAACGAAAATTAAAGACAAAAAAAAAAAAAAAAAAGCAAGAGGTTATCCATACCTTTATGCTTAAGCCCAAGCCACCAACTGGTTGTCTACGAAGTGTAACAGTTCTGTGCTTTAAAAAATCGCAGAAAAAAATAAATTTAGGTGTAAATATAATATCTGAACAAGCATATGAAATGTCTTTTTTTTTCTTTTTACTTTAAAGAAGTTACTTCTCAAAGGTACCCTAGAATATGGGTGATCAAGGTCAGTTCTGAGTTATGATTCAAGAGGCACTCATTTCCTTGCCATAAAGGTCATTCACACAGAGATCAGAGCTCATCTATATTCTGAATTCTGCACACATATTTCTAATGATTTATTTTTCTATTGCTGAAGTGATATGCTTCTAAGATAGATTTTTTTACTTTCCTGAGAGAACTGTATGAAGAGATTTGAAAGACCTAAATTATTTAAGACTAAATTATTTTCTTTAGCTGCTCATTTTTCAACTGCAAATACCTGTGTTTTCTAATCCGTATCACCCAGCCTATGTGAATTTTCTTGCTATATACTAAAAAACTTCTTGTGACAATCTGTTCTCAGGATTATTTTCTTGCATTTTCTGAGGAAGTGCATAAAGAAGATAAACATTTATCAATATTTTTCTGTAGTAACTTATCGTCTATTTAATAGTATACTGAATATGACATTTCATTCATGTGTAACTATCAGYGCCTGACATCATAGCAACAGAAAACATAACTTCATATGTTGATGATAATTGTAGAGCTGAGGAATTTTCAGTAACATGCTGAACAAAACTGCATATTATGTCACCTCTCAGCATCTAAAACAGTAACTACAGATCATATCTTATTCTGTGTATCAGAAATCCTATATGAGATTACTCTTATATGTAAATTTTAAACTGAGTATTTTATGATTCAGATAAATATGAATTTTGATCTTCAGTAGATAAGTCCATGCTCATTCTATACTTTAACAAGTTATTTTTTCTAATACTTAAGTTAGCAGAATGATGATAATACTGACTTGGTTTAAAGAGCAATAGAGTAWGTTATATATTTCAGTTTGAATTTTAAGAGGGTAAAAAAAAAGTATGTAGTTAAAACAAGCTGAAAATATTTCCTTGCATCATTAAAATTTATCTTTTCTGTTCCAACAAACATTACACTACTCCAGTCTGTGCTGAAAATGGAAATCGTTATAAGATGATGTAAGACAACAGGTTTACAAAGGTTTGTATGATTCAATCTCTGAACACATAATTTAGTTTTAGTGAAGTATGTGCTGTTTCAGATTATTTCATTCTTTCATCATTCTGAATTGAATATAAACTTTTAATCAAAATCATCATGTGTACTGAGAAAGTTCAGATCCAATCTGAGTGAGATTACATGGATTTCTATGTTTAGAATCTTGAGTCATTTCTGAGTGCCATTTTCTCTATTACATACCAAAAGTTGGACAGTGTCATAATAAAGATCTTTTAAGCAAACTCATGTCAACCGTATGCATAAATATGAGACAGTATTGCTATTATGTGATCATATATCATGCACTATGACTTACTGAAAGTAAGATTTTGGTAGCTGATTTTCAATTTTCCAAAACCTGAGAAGTATATAATTCCAGAAGAATAGGAGAAAGCTAAAACTTGGTCAATGCTTAAAACATGTAAATAGCACATAAGTCTTCATTATATCACAGGAAGGAAGATTATTATATCACAGGTCAGATGATCATAAATCTGCCAACTACCCACTYGTTACATTACAAAATAACAGTCGATCCATAAGTTCTTTTAAAATTCCATAAAAATTTAAAGGTGAATAAATTGTGATTCCGTGACTCTTATGRAAAATAGAACTTTCAAAATTAAATTGATATTTGTTTTGAAATTTCCAATCTTAACGAAAAATTGTCATAAGGTTCTGATGTGACACCACACAAATGCTTAATAAAAAACTCACAAACTGCAAAATGATATGACATAGTTTAAATTTATTTAAAATGGCTTGCTAATAAATCCCAAATTAAAAAATTAATTAAGATAAAGTTAATATTAAGTGGATATGCCTGTGGTAGGTCAGTGACGGTCCCTGAATTATTTAATTTTTTTTTWAAAAATAATAGTGATCTGAAAAACTAAATTAATTGCAATAATGTTTGTAGATAATACAAAATGAGAAGTAATGATGAACAAGACAGATTCTGGATAGGCTTTGATGACTGATCAAAGTCTGGATAGATTTTGATGATTTGTTAAATTAGAAGTAAATTACGGAACATATTTTAATRTTAGTGAATAAAAGATAAATTCTTCTTGTAACAAGGCAATCAAGTCCCATAAATAATTAGAGCAGAGCACACTATGTGAAAAAAAAAAAGGTGGATGTTGCATATAAACATGAGTTCTGCTGAATATGAGAAAAATCACAGCCAAAAGCACTCGTGTAATCGTACACCATCAGGACATTACTGCATAGGAGTAGGTAGTGGTGCACACATTTGAAAGAATCTAGCAACTTCTGGTAAGCTCATTTGAAAATGATACACTTGCATTGGAAAGGCAGCGAAGAACACCAAACGGCTTSAGAGATTTGTCTTGTAGTGCAATATATACCATGACCTAATCTATTTTGCTTTTTAAAGAATATTTCATGGATGACCACAGAAAAGCACATTTTTAAGCAATCTCCTTGGCAGAAGAACAGTAAATCTTATAAACAAATATAGTGCTAATTTCAGTGACATGAAGTTGAATATTCAGACTATAGACACAATACAACATTTTAAACTCTCCTACTAGGATGAACTGTAATTGGAATTTAAAACAGTGAACATTTTTTAAACAAYAAATGGCCTTTAGACCTTAAAATGAAATGATATTTTTTATTTAAACCATGACATGATCTATCATGTTATTTCATTAACACAGATTTAATTCAATTCTAAATCCAGAATTATTTAAATCCACTTTTTTTTTAATGGGAGTATCCACTAAAATCTGGGTTCGTATAAATAAAATTAGTTAAATCTCACACAACTGTCATCATCTACTAAGTATGGAGGCACCTAAAGATCAGAGATCTGTGTTACTGATGTTAAGTGGCCAAATATGTTTTTTTCTAAGTATTTAATATTTGTATGAATCTATAAAATAAGATATGAAGACAGAATTCTTGAAAGATAATGAGAGCTATGCAATTTACTATATTAGTTTCATATGTCCGACTATTTTCCCTGTGGAAGGCCAGCATATATATGTGAGTTATTGAGAAGACTTCAAGGAACAGCATATAGCAGGATCTACAAGCCTAATCTTGTCATAGAATGAACAGGTTGTTAGTGTGSGAAGTAAAAGCACTGTTGGTTCTCCCAGTCAAGGGTGGTCATGGATCTTCTTGCTGTGAGAACCTTCTTCCTAAAACTGAGATCCTTGACAGTTGAAATAGTGGTAGATGACCATCATGTAAATAGCTTTTTTACTCCATGAAAAGTCTGATTAGTCAAGTGTAAAGGTTATCTCACAGGAACTGTGCTCAGAGCAGGAAATAATAATAATAATAATAATAATAATAATAATAATAATAATAATAATAATAATAATAATAACAACAACAACAACAACAACAACAACAACAACAAAACAGGAAGGAGTTGATAGGGTTGATGTACATGGATACCAACATGGGGGAATGTGGGAAATAAGTCCTAGAGACAAAAAAAATAGGCTGCAAGTAAGGAAGTTGGAGAACTGTACTTGTATAGAATTATCCAAAACACTTCCAAAATACTCCACAGGACAGAGGAGACAAAAACGGTTTTAATGCATTCCTGAAAAGATAACTTGAGTAGTATAATTTTTTTGAAATAAAGGGAGCTTCTTCAAGAGGCAAATTTTATCTGGACTCTAATAAGCCAAAGATGCTGGTACAATTCAGGAAAGCTGTAAGTGATTTTTAAAATCTAGGTGTGGGAAAGAGTGGGAAAGAAATAAAGAGCATTACTGTGAATTATATCTGTATTCTGTAGAATTAAAAAAAAAATCTGTAGAGAAGTATCCTTAAGTAGAGTTTTTGGACAGGTGAAAAAAGACTGTAATGACAGGATGAAAACCATATAGATAGATATAGATAGATAGATAGATAGATAGATAGATAGATAGATATACACCTATGAAGGTGAAATAGACTCCATATAAGCACAGTGAATGCTCTGTGAGAAAAAAAGAATTTAACTCTCTCTCTCTCAAAAAAAAATAAAAATAAAAAATAAACCAACTACTTCATCAAATAAAACTGAATCTCTATGGGTTCCAACTCAAATAAAAGCCAGACTCTACTACGATGATAACATTCAACTTGGTTGAGAACATTAACTGAAATAAGGTAAAGAGATGAGGAAAATGGAAAAAAAWATATATAACACTGAAGACAGATTTAAATTAACCACATGTAGAGAAAAATATCACACCAGGATATAATGCAGTCAATAAAACACAGGTATCTATCAGTTACTGCTTCACTGAGCAGCTGCTTATAGAGCTCACAAGATTAGATGCCATTCTTGCTCTATTCTCACATACCACAAAGTATATAGCTATTTTTTTTACAGGTAAAAGCTACTCTGTAGCGGCAACCACTATGTATTTTAGGTATAACACCTGTAAGACCTGCAAGTCCAAAAATTCCACTGCCATTATGATCCCAAAAGAGGAATTACATAAAAGTAAGAAAGTTTGTTAAAAAGGAACATAAAGGATAAAGTTAAGGATATTGTATCTTCACAGACAATATGAAGACTACTWAAGGGTAATAAAGACTATAAGGTTATCATGCTGGAAACACAGAGAGCCACTGAATCTTCATTTTTGTAAAGTTTAATGTTGTATGGTGAAAATTTAGTCACAATTTAGCCCCCCGAAAATATAAAATAAGATGTTCATTTTTTCTCCACAAATTTATGAACAAGGGTTCTCTTAGAGAGGTGGTGTGTATACACATGGACTATAAAAGCCAAATTAGAACTATATTTTTTTTTAATATTGCAGAATATTGGAATATTGGAATTGGGAAGATTAGGATTATTCCTGATGTTCTTTAT